GGAGTCATGTCATTTTCAATGGAAAAATACCTTGAGGCAGTCAGATTTCCTCAACACGAAGGAACAATATTGCCTGAGATACGCCATCATTCAAACGTGACCAAATCTCCTCAATGCGAATGAGTGGTGTCATCCTTAGACAATCAGATTTCCTCAATGCGAAGGAACTGTATTGTCTCCAAATTATCCTAAATACGACTAGACATTCTCAACACGAAGGAACAATGTCGTCCACTGACCAGATGTCCTCAACGCGAAGGAGCAGCATCATCCTCAGACAACCAGACATCCTCAACACAAAGGAACCATGTTATCTTTAAATTATCCAGATTGACCAGACTTCCTCAACAAGGAGCAATGTCATATAAAAACGACCATATCTCTTCAACATGGATGAACAGTGTCGTCTTTAATATCAAGTTTCATAGTGAAATGGAGAACCAGAAAAAAAACTCGTTGTCTCATTGTCTTTGCCATATTCTTGTTAACATAAGAATTGGCAAAGAGAGGCAGTTGTAGACACCCTTTTTTGTTTGGGTTCTATTTGTTTATTCATGATGATGATGATGATGATTATTATTATTATTATTATTATTATTATTATTATTAATTATTATTATATATTATTATTTTTGTATTACAGATGGCCCAAATTACAAAGAAACAATATAGGCCCATTACGAAGCCAACAAGTGACCCAGTATCAAGCCCACTCGGTCTGGGCCCCCCAAGATCTGACCCGGTTACAACTAGCAGACCCGACTGGAGCCCAATTACTAGACCCAAAGAGGATTTGACCCGACCCAATAGTAACACCCTAGGGTCAAAAACCCTAACCCTAAGGAATTACTAATGTCACTGCCTGTTGCTACTACTGCCATCGACTGCTTCTGACACTGCCATTTCAACATGTAGTGATACGAAGACAAATCATTAAAAAAACCCAATAAAAAATAATAAGAAGATCCATGGAAAATACTAGATTGTCAATCACTGAAAATAGAATAATCATATCCTATTTTCTCGGCAGCAGCACAAACCATCACCAAAATCAACAAGAGAATATGATAAAAAGGGGAAGAGATACCAGAAAGGAAAAAAAACCATATTAGAATAGAGAGAAAAAGGGGAGACTTCGAACATTCAAAAAGAAAAAAAGAGAAAAAACTGAACAAAAAAGGAAAAAATGAGAAAGAATATACAAGAAAAAAGAAAAGAGATGAGATAAACATCTTACCTTAGTTCGAAGCACACCGGAAGCGCAAAAGTCATCGATTTTCAAAGTGTTCGAAAGGTATAAAAACTAGATTTAGGACTTTATGGTGAGTTTTAGGCTAAAGGGGCTAAGATCTGGGCTAAGGATGATGTGAGGAGCATTTTGGGAGTTTTCATTTCCTCCAGCCACTGTGAGTGGCCATGAAGCGTCGCCGGTGAAAGGTGGCCCTCTTTCCCGATGAGAGAAAGTGGAGAGAGTTTGGGGAACTCTCTCTCTCTCTCCATTTTTCTGAAATTAAGAGGATAAATGAGGAGATGATGAGGAAAAAGCCTTGAAATCGGGCTTAAATACCCAGAGTAAAACAACATAGTTTCACTCCCTCACCCGTGTTTTTCAATTTTTAGCATAAATAGAAGTTTGGGTCCCTAGTTCTTTGTAATCTCATCATTCGGTCATTGAATGAAATTTTATGATATTCTGTTTTAAGCATTTGTTTTTCAATATTTACATTTAAGTCACTAATTTATATATTATGCCATGTTTGCTAATATTTGAATCTAACCTATGGTTCATGAATCTTTTGCTTTAGTCACTATTTAGTGTGAATGCATTTAGGTATAATTATATTTTACCCTTTTGTGTTTCTAGTTTAGTTTATTTTAGTCCTTAATATTATTTATGGATTATTTTATTTCTAGTACTTGTATTTTTTAATATATCTGATTATGGCTCTTGTTTGTTATTGGTATTGTTGTTTGGTCCCTCAAATCTTTGTTAATACTATTATGATCCTTTGAAATACCAAATAGACCTATTTTCTGTTGTTTGTATGCTAGTCAAAAATGTTTTCTTGTTTTTATTTTGGTCTTTTATGTATATACATATTGTGTTCATTATGTTTTTATATATTATATTAAATAAGTATTATTAGCTCTATTTATTGTAAATATTTTATTCTATATATTTCCAATCGCATTTGTTTCCATCGTATTTCTTTATCTATTGATATGATACTCGAATATTTTCAAGAACATTTATTTGTAGAATGGGAGTGAAAAGCATTACTTGATCGAAGTAGTGTAATCTGATACGACGTTTGAACGAAATATGAACTTGAAAACACGAGACTTTTTATGTATTTATTAAAATAATGGTAATTATTTTTTATTTATAATATTTTTATTTACTTTTAATTTTTATTTTCATTTTATTTAATGTTATGATTAATGATGTATGCTTTCGGAAAATGAATCATAATTTATTTCATGCAAAATTTATGTTAATTTAAAGATAGAATACTCTTTTACAAAAAAAATAGGTGAGATAGCTTTCCCGATGGAAGATTGCAAATCTCGAGATTTATTGTTAAGTCAAAGAATTTTCTTTAAATAATTAATTCATAATAAATTAATTAATATTCAATAAATAAATCATAATTTAATTTTCTATTCGAATTTTATTTTCCACTATTACGACAACGTGTAAACGATTAAGTACCAATTTTAGGCGTCGTAGGAGTGTTTATCATTCCTCACCATAACCGACTTTTGGACATGTTAAGTCGAGTTTTTGGTAAACGCATACCAATTTTGTCTTAAAAATGATTTTTCTTAAAATTATTTTAAAAAACGTTTTTAGGTATTCGACCAACTTAACCTAAAGGTCGATGATGACTTTTATTCAAATTAATTCAAAATCGCTAATTTTTCAAATAAAGTCATGATTGTTTTTAAACTTAATTGTTTTAAAAAATGGTTATCACAAAAGTTTTATAAGTGTTTAATACTTTAAACTAGAATATAATAATAATAATAATAATAATAATAATAATAATAATAATAAGGAAAAAGTACACAAATGGTTCCCCTATTATAGGATATTGCTTTGTTGAGTCTTCGACTGTCCAAAGTTACAAAATGATCATCCAACTATTCATTATGTTCCAAACTCTTCATTTTCGTTAAAAATGAGGGCAATTTGAGCTAAATGTTAATTTATTGTTTGAGATATGATAGTAGTTTGAGATTATAAGATAAGATTTTATCATATATCAAACAATAGATTAACATCCAACTCAATCTGCATTAATTTTTTAATGGAAAATGAAGAATTTAAAACATAATGAATAGTGAGGTGACATTTTTGTAATTTTTAATAGTCGATGACTCAATAAATCAATATCTTATAATCGGAGGACCATTTTATAACTTTTGATAATCGATGAAATCAACAAAGTAACACCCTATAAACGGGGATCATCTATGTGCTTTACCCTAGTAATAATAAATCAACATGAAAAATTCAATGTTTTTAAAACCGGACAAGATCTTAAACCGGTGAAGGTACTGGTTCATTGGTTCAACCGGGTTAAATCGCGGCTGAACCAGTTTATATAAAATAATATTTTTTAAAATTTTTTACATAATATTCAAAGAAATATTAATAATATATATATATATATATAACACTCTTTTTAAGTTCACAATATTAAAAGGTATAAAAATATTACAATTCATAACATATATAAGTTAAATATCATAATATCAAGTGAAACAAAATGATTCAAATCAACTACAACATAATATTTAAGGTCAATACCTAATGAAATTCATCAACAACTAAATAAAAAAAGTACATAATTGATACAAGTATATAATCATCATAATATTAATTGAAATTGATTCCCTCAAATTCCAAAATATTGACAAAATCAAAAAATAAATTTGAGATTGAAAAAATCATAACAAAGTCTCGACTACTTCCACTATTTCGACAGATTCAGTCCCCATACAAAAGATAGTTTCCTGGTTAAAGAAACAGAAAATTACTTAACAGTTAACAAAATGATAATATTCTCATAAAAAAAAGGTGAAAAGGGCTTATTTCTAAGGGTAGCTTACCGTAAAACTTCAGTCAAATAAAACAGACGAACAAATATGTATATCTTAATCAGGCTTTTTGTATGTACCCCACCCACCCTCCAAAAAGAAAAAGTTGTTCATATTATGTATAAGCATTCTTAATCATGATGAATAATTATCAAGTGTGCTTTTGAATTTTGAAACATAATCGGGTGAACCGCTTGAATTGTCGGTTTACATCGATTTTGTCGATTTCCAACCAGTTCTTTAGTGATTCATTGTAAAATTGATTTTGGAAGCTGATCGGACAGGCAACCGGTTTCCGGTTCAATCAGTCGAACCGACCGGTACGGTCCGATTTTGATAACATTGGAAAAATTAATTTAAGTTTTTAGACATTTAAAGTGATTGTTTATCGATAATTGGTAGTCTAATAAAACTCCGAACGTGTCCTCCACAATAGGTTAGGTTTATAATTTTTAATAATTGTTTTTAATTAGATATATGAAAAGAAGTCATTTTTCTTTTAAATTTGAGATTTTTTAGCATTTGCAAATATCTCATATTGTTTCATTCTTTTCAAGTACCGCAACACAATTTAGTAGAGTAATATAAATTTATTCAAGTAATATATATATTTGAATTTTCCTTTTGAAGGATTTTGGGTCTCAAGTGACAACTAAAAAAGAAGGAAGACAGAAGTCATTTTAGAAGTATAACAGTCGAGTCTTCTTCATAACGAATAAGCGACCTATTCAAGAGTGGAAATTTGAATATTCATAAAAATAAAACCCTCAGTCAGTCACAGCCAATAATATGCTGCCACGTTTCAAATTCTCCCATTCTTATTTGTCCTTCTTCCGTTAGTCTCACCACATCGTTATTTTTACTACCATCATCCTCTTTTTCTCACTTTCCATTTCTTCGAACAAAACCTCCCATCTCTCCCCCTCTCCTTCGATCCTTTCTCTCCGAAGAAGATTAGACGCTATAACCATTCTTCGAAACGATGTCGCGTTCCCCGTCTTTGAGGAAATCATCGTGCCTTTCGCTGAGGTTATCGAGATCGTTAAGATCACTTACCAAAACGAAGTCATTGGGTATAGTCTCCATGGCGGCTGAGGAGGAGGCGGCTCAACTGGATTCTTCTTCACCGTCATCTCCTTCGGAGGAGGGTGGGGAATCGTGGTCGACGATGCTGCCGGAGTTGTTGAGCGACATCCTAGGGCGCGTGGAGGCGAGTGAAGATCAGTGGCCACTAAGGCAAAACGTCGTCGCCTCCGCCTGCGTATGTAAGAAGTGGAGGGAAGTTACCAGAGATATTGTTAAGGCTTCACCTGCTTGTGGAAAAATCACTTTTCCTTCTTGTCTTAAACAGGTATTTTAAAAATCCTTTTAACTTCATTTAATTAAATTTTGTTTTATATATTCTTGTTACTGAAATCGATGTATACTTGCATAATCTGGCATTTCTTTATGAGGAAATATATAGAAATATCTTCCAAGTCCCAAAAATTTATAATTTTAGTGGTTTTTTAAGGGTTCTTTATTTTAAAATTTGTAGGATTCCATTTTTTTTTTGTTGCAATTTCGAAACTTTTGGCCTTATAGTTAGATCTCGTCGATGCATTTTTCCCTGAGCGGGTAATTTTAAGGGAATGTACGAGGCAGAGAGGTTCAAAATTTTGAATCAGATGACATTTTTAACATTTATGGTGATCGTATATTAAAATTCGGTGGAATTTTTACTATATAATGTAATTTTTTTCATATTTTTAACGTTTTTATATTGTTTCCAATAGAAATCACACATTTAGTTGTGCATTTCAAGAAGATTATCCATCGATGTTTATAAACTATAATTGTTCTCTGTGGAACTCGCAAACCTGTGATTATCCCTCCCAATCATCACAACATAGTGTGTTGTTTTCAGTGTGCAAAAAAGGAATCTGAAAACAAAATAAAGTATGTGTAATTGCTGTTTTTGTGTTCTTCAAGTCTGCTTGCTAAAATATGAACTACATTTTTGGTTGCTGGTCTTTGGACGGAAATGCTTTTAGAATTTACAGTTATTGATCAATGAATTTGTCACGAGTATTGTGGATGATTATTTTATTGCTTTTTCTTGTTGCAGCCTGGTCCCCGTAATTTGCCAAACCAGTGTATTATAAAGCGAAACAAAAAGGACTCTACGTTCTACCTGTACCTTGCTCTTTCACCATGTAAGTGATATTTTCTTGTCCCAGACAAAACATGATAACAAATAAGGGTGTAAAAAGGATGCTTCCTTGCAACCTACTTGGGTTTGTGGCTCGAATTTGGCTCGGTCATTGTCAAGCTTGTTATTGATCTATTGAGCGAGCTAACTTTGAGTATTCTAGTGCTTGAGTCAAGTAGCTCACGCACCTCATCAGTGTTTTGTTTCTTATATTTAATATAATTTTTCTTTTTAATTAAAATTGAAAATTTCAATCTGAACTTGAGTGTGAACTTGTGCATAAATAATTCAGTTCGAAGTCGAGCATTATATTGAATTCTTTTTCTACTAGGTAAATGAGCTTAATTGAGTGAGCTAAAGTTAGATTTTAATCTCAAATTCGGCTCTAGCTTTAGATAAAATCAAAACTCAATCAAGTGTTAACCCTTGAATTTGATTCAAGCTCGACTAGTTACAACCTATTTTGAAGGAATAAAATGGTTGAAAGGGACATAATTCTTTTTTTCAAAACTTTTAAATTAATTTTTTATTTTTTCCAGGCAGGGCCATAACTGTCTGCTGACCTAATACCTTTCAATAATTCAGCTTGACTTGGTCTAAATCTCTAGAATGGTTGACTATCAATCTGCTTAAGTTAATGGTCTTACACGCCCATTAATTTTAAAAGGGCAATAAGATTTAGTCCTTTGGACCTGTCTATACTATAGATGACATTTTGCTATTTTAGATTTGGATTTAGCGTCCCCACCCCTCTTCACTTCAGAACAATGTATGGTGGCAGTTGCTCATATTGATATATGATTTTACATGCAAATATTTTTTTCTTACTAAACTATGCTACATGCGTTTGGGTTTTTCTTTTTATCTTATTTTAGTAATGCCTTGTGCCTGCATAATAGCATTATAACAGTCTTTCCAAGATGATAATAAGTTGGGTTCTAAGGGAAGGATACACAAATCATTTAAAAATTTGATAATTTCAAAATTCATGGCCCCGCTAGTATTTCAATTTTTCATTGTTACGTCATCTTCAGTGCGATATCAGGTTGATATATTTGTGTTCTATAGAGGCATATGAATCTATTGTTCGAGTGATGCATCTGATGATTTTCTTGCTGGATGTGGCAAATTTAGGTAGCCAAATTTTGCAGGGCAGACTTTATTTCTTTCTTTTCTATTATGCATTTAACAATTATATTAAACCCTTCACCAGAATGAAATATGTTACATTAAGTCTACTTACATTCATTTTTCCTCGAAGATGTTGCCAGTCTAAAATGTAGCTAAGTTTGTTACCTTTTGTTTACAAACGAAGACATTTTATTCTTGTGATTTTAGTTCTTTAAAGCAAGTGGTGTTCACTGTAATATCCAATCCATAGCAAGTGATGTTAGTGGTTGAAATCTAATTTTATTTGGATCATATTTCCTGAACCATTGCAGCATTTACCGAAATGGGGAAGTTTCTATTTGCTGCTCGAAGATATCGACATGGTGCTCATATTGAGTATATTATATCCCTTGATGCTGATGACCTATCCCAAGGCAGTAACGCCTATGTTGGGAAGCTAAGGTAATGGGTCAAAACTTTGGATTTGTTATTTTGTGATATGATTTTTCTCTTGCAGCCATACTGGAACGTGATTAACAATATACGTTCTTTTGAATTTAGTGAATGCGCTCTACCTTCCTCCCTCCCACTTAGTTAAATCTTTTAGGTAAAAGTCTGTCTAATGGAAGTGTAAAATTTTGCCTGGATCTTTTAGCTGAAAAGGTTCATGGTTGACATTTTATCCATGTTTCGTGCGATGTGGATAATTTTTTGGTCAGATTTTTAGAGTGCTTTATTATCTTTTACGTGGCACTCAAATGCAAATGTAAATTCTTGCAGTTCAAATTTTCTGGGCACCAACTTTACTATCTTTGATAGTCGGTCACCTCACAGTGGTGCAAAGCCTGCAAGCAGTAAAGCCAGTCGGAGATTTGCAAGTAAGCAAATCAGCCCCCAAGTTCCAGCTGGCAATTTCAAGGTCGGTCAAGTATCTTACAAGTTCAATATCTTGAAATCAAGAGGTCCTAGGAGAATGGTTTGCTTGATAAAATGCCCTTTGCCAGAAGAGAAGGCCGATGACAAGCATTTAGATGACACCGAGATGAAAATGCCTGCGAATGCTGCCTCTGCTCATACAGTTTTGAAGAACAAAGCTCCAAGATGGCATGACCATTTACAATGTTGGTGCTTGAATTTCCATGGTCGGGTGACAGTAGCATCGGTGAAGAACTTTCAGCTGAGTGCGACTGTAGACCCGAGCCAACCAGGAGGGAAAGGAGACGAGGAAACGGTTGTCCTCCAGTTTGGGAAGGTAGGGGACGATACATTCACCATGGATTATAGGCAGCCCTTGTCAGCCTTTCTTGCTTTTGCCATCTGTCTTACCAGCTTTGGTACGAAATTGGCTTGCGAGTGATTTTATATTGTTATGTTACATATATAAGTTTCATGCTTACAAGATTTGGTTTTGATGGGACAAAGGCAAATCATGTAAATGTTCCTATTGTATCTTAACATTTGTCTGTAACTTTTGGCTGCAAATATATTTATCATACAGTTCATACGGTGTATTTTACATACAAGCTAGGCATCTTTCTCCTCTCTTAAAATTTGACGTCATTTGTTTACGTTTCTTGTATTCATTATATTTTAGCGGAGTTTTAATGTTTTATACATTGACTGATCCATTTTTTTGACGTGATGATTCGTTCTTACTGTTTCACAGTAAATAAAACTGGTACAATGACACATTTAAATGTATTTAATCAGACCACTAGCCGTTAATATTTAATGGAAATGATGATGTGTCAGTTAATAAAATTAATATAATAACACATTTGGTCCTCAATATTTATACATTCTTTCAGTTTGGTCATAATTTTAATTCAATTTGACCTCTAATCAAGTATAAACATATATAACAGATTATATAACGAATGTCGTAAAATATATCCAATAGAGAGGCTTAGCCCAGTGGTTCCAGCCTGCTTGCTATTACTTTAGATTGTTGGTTTGATCCACCACGGAAGCCGATTACATTTCCAAGCCTTTTCCTTATCAAATAAGGTGACACGTGTCACTATCTGATTGGATATAAAATAAAATAAAATTAATAATTAAAATTAATAAAATATCATCCAATATGATAGTGACACGTGTCATAGCCTAATTGGAGACTAAATTTATTAAATTGAATTAAAATTGTTATCAAATTGAAAGAATGTATAAATATCGATGACCAAATGTATAATTATATCAATTTTACTAACAACTGCCTCAGCACTTCCGTTAATTGTTAACGGCTAGTGGCCTGATTGAATGCATTTAAATAATTAGGTGACCTGATTGAAAAGAATTCAAAAATGATGGCCAAAATGAAAAGGGGGTTATAGTTGGGTGGTTATGTTATAGTTTGCCCTATTTTATATTATTACTTGTCAATTTGATAAAATATCTTTTATCATTTAATTTGATTTTGAAATTGATTGACTTTTTGGCATCAACATTCAGCTTATAAAATTTATTTATCAGAATGTTGAGTTCTATTGAAATTATCGCCTTGACACCAATTGGTATTGAATTTCCCTGGACGCCGAGTTTATATTATTATTTTCAAATATTTTGTTGAAAAGCATATTAAGTCATTATCTTCACTTAGAAGTTGAACATTATATCTCTTTCAAGAGATCTCAGAATCAATTCCCATTGTTTGCATTAGCGATTGTTACCGTTTGGTTGTTTTTCGTAATACTAATAATTGTTTCTTTACTTTTAAGACATTAGTGAAAATAATTTACTTACTATATATAAGCAGTTATTTAGTGCAAAGAACTCGACACGTATTCGAATCAAGGTAATCTCAGTATACATACAAGTTATTCTTTAATTAGATTTCATTCTATCAATTTCACTCCAATAATTTTCTCCACTGCCGTAAATCACCTCATATACCTCGCCAATTTGATTGCTTCAGAATGTCTGGACTACGGTTGCATGATACCAAAACGCACCGCTTCTCAGGCGGCTAATATGGCATATTCAAATTTATTACTTAATTAGCATAAAGCGTGTGACCCCTAAACCCGACCTAGACGTTACGACCGAATCTCGGAGACCATATTAATTCATGTTAGCATAATAAGAGTTCATAAAACAAACTATAATACGAGTTAAATGTCCAAAATATATGAAAACACAGTATCCTAAAATCCCATATAATTTGTATAATAAAAATCAATGAAAAATATATAACATAAAGTCTAAAAACGTTCATACGGTGTTTGAAAGGAAAATGTGCTACTGGACAATCTTTCAAGTACTAGTCGTAGTCTAAAGGTCAAAGAGATATGAAAAGACAAAAACTAAAAAGTGAACTAATAAGCTCAACGTGTCCTCTAAAGTAAAGCATATATGTCATAATGATGCAATTTAAATTCAGACAGTTGACGTTACCCTACGAAGAGAATCCCAGTAAGAAACAGAAGTCGGATATGGACTTATCCTTTCGAAAAGGATCCCAAACAGAAAAAGAATGGGAATATAATCCCATGCAGAAATAGGACATTGCAGAGAAAGGACTAGGATATAATCACATGCAAAAACAGAAATTCATCAATATATAAATTAATAGTGATGCAACATTAATAAGAAATCAGACATATTACGAATAAATATAATCAGGTTACAAACACGCGTTTCAATAGCAACATGTTGTACAATAACATGAAAAATTAAATGTATCGATCATGTCAAGAAGACAAACATATAGTCGCTAATCTATGCTAGCTAATTCATACGTTTTAGAGGATCGACAATATTAGGTTTTGTGGCTTGGGGACCTTATAGTAACACAACTTTCATATGAGAATTTGGAAAAAGATACTATAGAAACTAACTCAGGACGTCAAGAAACATAAAAGTAGCGATCAATTAATCAATGAAAAAAATTCAACAATGAAAGGTCAACAATTAACAGTCGACAATCAACAGTTCAATTTGGCCAATAGTCTGATTTGGTTTGGTCAACAATCCAATCAATGATTCAGTTCGATCAATGGTTCATTCAACAGTTCGATCAATCGATTTAGGTAGATCGATCCAGACAGATAGGTTCAACGATTCAAAATTTTAGATCGCTTGGAGCAGTCCCACGCATACATGACAGCAAGTGGAGCACTCAACGACGATCAAAAATATACAAAAAATCTAAAAATTCACTTTGGACTACAGAGAGTCACTTATAAGCTCCGATTTCTAAAAACGATTGACGGAGGTTGTATTTTAACGAAACCTAAAACTTCACCTCCTCTGAGAAATCTAACATCAGTGACGATGGAAACGAGACCACCGGACATTTGGTGATGATGATTCGAGCATAATGGTGTCGGACATGAGATTAACAGCTGCATGATTGTGACAAAATGGAGCAAAATGAGATGCACAGTGGGTTGCATGGGAGAGAAGGCAAAAAAGAAATAAAGAAGAAAGAGTGGGTATTTGAAATACCCCAAAAATTTAGATTAATTAAGACCTTAATCCTCGAACTTTCATAAATTTAAAACCTATCATAACACTTTCACAATTTGAAATTTAACCCCCAAAAATTAGAGATGTGACAACTCTTCTCCTTAATAAATTTTAGCCTCAAAATTTTACCAGGCGGAAAAAGATTAGTTGCTCCTTCATATATTTTTAGTCTTCTGAGGCCTCCAAAAGACTGCAATTACTCTAAAGTACCTTAATCTTCAGAATGCATCGACTTCTTAGAACTCGATCCTCATAGACAAGAATATGAATAGGCTCCTCCTCATAACCTAAATCATGTCTTATCTCAACATTCTTAACATAAATGATATGTGACGGATCAGAACAATAACATCTCAACATAAAGCATGGAAGATATCATGAATGCGCTCAAGATTAGGCAGTAACTCAAGCTAATAAGCAATTGGATAAACTCAAATGTCCAATAAATCTTATAGTCAACTTGCCTTTACGGCCAAATCTAAGAACCTTTTTTACGGAGATACTTTCAGAAAAACTTAGTCAGCCATATTGCACTCAATATCCTGTCTCTTCAGAACAATATAAGAGTTGTACCTATCGAAAACAACCTTAAGCCTATCTCGAATTAACCTAACTGTAGCCCTATTCTCTTGAATAAGATCGAGTCCTACAACCCTCCTCTTAGATAACTCAGTCAACATAACACATCCACTCAACATATCCTCTAGAATGTGAATAAACCGCTCAGATTATCTCTCATATTGTGGGTTATAAGCCATATTGAGATTCAATAGGTTACCTAAGCCTCATGAAGAGCCTTCTAGAAACGCGACGTAAACCTTGGATATTGATCAGAAATAATGGATAAGGGAACCCCATGAAGGTGAACATACTCAGAAATATGCAATCAAGCCAATCTATCTATAATATAATTAGTCCAAACCAAAATAAAGTGAGCAGACTTAATGAGATGGTCAACAATAACCCAAATTGGATCCTTCTTGGAATGCATAAAGGCAATCCATTGATAAAATCCATAGTTACTCGCTTCTATTTCAACTCGGGAATCTGAATGAGTTAAAGTAAACCAAAAAAAATCGATACTCGACCTTTACTTACTGACAAGTTAGACACTTAGCCACATATTCAATGACATATCTTTTTAAACCATATCAATAGTACATTTCTCTAATATTTCGATACATCTTAACACCATCCAGATGCATAGAATAAGGACTATCATGAGCTTCTCGCAAAATAGAACTCCACAACTCAGGATTATCCAGAACACAATAACGTCATCAGAGGCAAATACATCATCTTCATTGAAGGTGTACTTTGAATCCAAACTCTTCTCAACTCGTTTTGCAAACAGAAACAAGGATGTATCGAGAGGTTACTTTGACTTAATCTCAGTCACCAAAGTGGACTTAACCCGGAGTTTAGCCAACAAAGTACCATCCTCATACAAACTCATTAGCTTTTCTAAGATGATACCCAATTTCAAAATCATAGTCTTTCAAGAACTCTAACTAACGGTGTCTCAAATTAAGATCTTTCTAAGTCAACAAATATTTTAGACTTTTATGATCGATATAGATATAACACTTCTCGCCATAAAGATAGTGCCACCAGATTTTCAGCACAAAGACCATTGCAGCTAACTCAAGATCATGAGTAGGGTAGTTACACTCAAGCGGCTTTAACTGACGAGGTGGATAAGTTACACTACCCTACCATACTACATTTGAAAATAACTCAATCCAATGTAAGAAGCATAATTGTAAATTGTATAATCTTTCCCAAACTCAGGTTAAATAAAAATTGGAGCTTGTGTTATAATTGATTTCAATTGCTTAAAACTCGAATGATGAGCTTCACCCCACAAAAAAGGTATATTTTTTCTCATAAGCTTCATCAAAAGAGCTACAATCATAGAAAACACCTCTACAAACCTTCGATAATACCCTTCTAAACCTAGGAAACAATGAATCTCAGCCACACTCTGAGGTTTTGCTTCTAGTTCATAATAGCTTTGATTTTCTTCGGATCAA